TTAAATTCTTTGATAGTTTACATACGAAGAAGAAGTTTTTGTTTTTTATGTTTTTTATTTATTTTTTTAATTTATAATTGTAAATTATACTTTCATCTAATATAATTATTCTATTGTAATTTTCTGAATTTTTCAATCGGTATTAAAATATTATTGTTCCAAGGATTAAATTTTTGCACTATATTATATATTATTATATTTATTTATTATTATTATTATTAATTTTTATTATATATAGATATACTTAAAATTTATTTTATTTTTAATATATAATAATATTATTGTATAAAAATATTTATTTTATATTTAATTTATTTTATTATTATTATTGTATATAATATTATAATATATAATATTATTATATAAAAATATTTACTTTATACTTAATTTATTATTATTATTATTATAATATAATATTATTATATAAAAATATTTATTTTATTATTATTAATTACAGGATTTTATTTTTTGGGAATGGCAAGATTCGACCTCACGTAGTTTGGTTTGCGAATCTGAGACTCTAGCACCGCACCACAAAACCATTTGTCTTTTATTATTATATATTAATTAAGTATTTAATTATTAAGTAATTGTTTAATATCGTTTATTGTATCGTTGTAAATTTGAAATAATTTCTTGCTAGTATATATATATACGAAGTTTATTTTTTACTTTTTAATCTATAATTATTGTCAATTATATTCAATCTAATATAATCCTAATATAATTTTGAATGTTTCAATGATATTAAAAAATATTACAATTCAAAGGATTAAGTTTTTACTATTGCAAAAAGGATAAAAAACAAATTGAAATTCAACGATAAAAATAATTATATTTGAAAAGTTAATATTTAGAAATAATTTCTAAGATTATTTTAATACACATTATACTGTATTTCTTTTGAAATGTAACAAAACATATATTTTTTCATTATTAATATTCTTCTAATTAGATCATTTTTATTACCACATCGTATATAAACATGATTTAAAAAAAAAGGATAGAAAGAAAACAAAAAAAAATTCTTAAATCAGGATTTAAAAGGTCCCGTTTACGAAGGACCTTGGCCGACAGAAACGGATGTTAGCGTACATTCGCACCTAACGGTATCCTTTATCCGGATTTTCGGTGAGATTTGGGTCACCAACAGAAACTGAGAAGAATAGATTTTAAAACAAACAAGAAAGAACAAGAACAAGAACAAGAAAAAGAACAAAAAAAAATACTTTAACGAAAGATCAGTTAATTGACAAGGAAACTAATGCGAATAGTTATAGATCACCTAATTAGAAAAGAAAGAAAAGGACTATTACGACCATAACTGTTTCCTTTTTGTTTGTTTTTTTATTTTTTTTTTTTTCTATTTATCTTTCATGATGATGATGATGATGATGATCACGATACAACTTCTAAGAATTTCTTTCTTTTTCTTCTTTTTATCGCTAAACGTTGAGAACAAAAGGGTTACCTTTAAATTGAATGAGAGAGAGAGAGAGGGGGCGGGGCAGGAAGAGTATGTTGAAAATTCTGATATGAAATTCTTTCTTTTCTTTCAAACTTGATAACGTTATAGGTAGAAAAAGAACAAAAAAATTTCTAAGCAATTATAGAAATAGATTGCAGATGTTTCTCATTTCTTACGATTTAAATTGATACAGGTGAGAAACGTGTATATGAAAAGTTTACGTGAAAAACAATCATTCGTGTTTATAATTATGAAAATGATCTAAGTGAAAATTAAGAAAAAAACAAAAAAAAATGAGTTTATCAGTTATTACATACTACTACTACATTATTATAAAATAGTAAAGTCAATAAATTCAATGTCATTTGAAAATGATATTATCTTAAATGAGATGATTAGATAATGTTTATGAACGTTACATTTAATAGCAACTTGTAGAAATTGAATAATTGTAAGTGTATTTTGTTTTTGTTTTTGTTTTTGTTTTTTAGTTACACGTTAAAAGAATAACAAGGTTTTTTTTTTAATGTGTTCTATTTAATTATAATTTAACTTTGTATATGAAATTAGCAAAGATATTTTCAAATTGACAAAGATACAATAAATTAAATTGAACATATATATTATGTATACATGTATATATATATATATATATATATATATATATATATAATAATTCAAACTTAATTCTTGGAACTATAATATTTTAATACCATTGAAACATTCAAAATTATATTAGGATAATATTAGATAAAATATATAACTAACAATAATTATAAATAAAAAATAAATTTCGTATAATACACTAGGAAAAATATTAAAAAATTTACAACAATATAATAAACAAGATTGAACACAATTATATATAGTACATATAATAGTTTAAACTAAATCCTTGAAAAACTAATAATATTTTAATATCATTGAAGATCAATTTTAACACACATTAACAAACATTTGTTGTTTTGTTCTTAATTTCAATGTTACTTCTGTACCATTTGTTTCATTTTACTTTAGGTATACATATCTATATATATATATATATGTGTGTGTGTGTGTTTAAATATAAGTCGAATGATTTAAAAAAAAAACACACACACACACAGACAGACACATATGTATGCAATGCATACGCATAAGTTTCTCGAGGTTTTCCCCTTGAAAGGAGAACTGCGAAAGGCGATGTGAGAACCGATAAAAATCTCGTTCGTTCGTTCGTTCGTTCGTTCGTTCAGAACGTTCGAAACGTTCTAAAGTTAAAGTTCTTTCGTCTCAGTATTCTGCAGAAATTTGCGAACAAAGATGCGGAAAAACGTAACGCGGAAAAACCGTACGCGGGATTTCATTCGACCTACTTAGTAAAAAAAAAAAAGATAATAATCGTCTTCTTTTTTATCGAATTAAGAGATACCTTTCATTAAGATGAGATTAAAAGATAATATAAATGGATTATTTTGTTTAATAGACTCTACTGTATAAACTGTATAAATATATACATGTATATATATTATATATGTATATACGTACTTATGTGTTTTTGTACAAAGACAGAATGGTGTTAGTATTTGTATTATAATATAAACCCAATCAATCTTAAGCTTATTATTGAATATTATTTTCTTATATATTTTGTATAAACAATTATCTCTCCTAATGTTAAACAATATTATTATTTAATATTAATATTTTCATTTTTCTTAGGTTTTCCCTTTTAGTCGCCTCTTACGACAAGCAGGGATTACTGAGGGGGTATTCTTATCCCGCCACCCCCACGGGAGGAAATATCTATATTTAATTATATATATATACATAATATACATTGTAAAATTAAATTTACTTAAATATTTAATAAATACGATAAAGTTTGATCGAAATAATTTATGTTGATTTAAAAATTACCAAATATTAAATATTAAATTATAAAATATCAAATATAATATTGTAATTATAATATAATTATATATAAAATTATATAAAAATAATTAAAAATAATAATTCAAAATAAGATTTAATTTAAAAATTAAAAATTAAATTATAAAATATTTAAATTAATAATAAGATTATAATTATAATTATAATTAATAATATATATATATATATATATATATATATATATATATATAAAATATTTTGGATATACTTTTTTGTCAAACAATAATAATATACACTCGAATGATTAAAATTTTATATCAAACTCGTCATAGATCAGCTGACTTTTTCGTTTATATCAAAATTATAGTACGAAGTCGAAAAAAAACCTGATAGTTATATTAAAAATGAAATAAAAACAAAAACAAAAAAATGGTATTATCGAGTTATGAACACGCCGATGATATTTTGTTCATACCATTGACCTCGTCATCTATCTCTATCTCTCTCTCTCACACTCTCTCTCTCTCTTTATCTCTCTTTCTTACACACATATACGTATACATACATATATTCTTTTTAAAACCAAGGTAAAACGTTCGCTTTCTTTCTATTTTCCTTTTACACATTACTAACACACAACAATATAATATACGTACATATATAAATTTAAACTTCCTTTCGAATTTATTCCCTTCTAATATTAACACCCACTATTAACGTTGAATTAAATTATTGTTATTATTTTATTAACAAATAAACAAAATTAGAGTAGTAGATAACAAAAATTATTTGATTATTATTTTTGACAATTTAGAT